AAAGGGAATTCTAGGTACCATAATGAAGTTAGAATGGTTAGACCCAAAAGCTGAGGGCTGGGCTGTTTTTCATTTAAATTAGTCCTAGCTCAGAGTTTCAGTGCTCCTCTATAGGAAGCAGACCCATTCCTGTAGTCCAGTGTTGTCCAAACCTGGCCACTTTAAGATGAGTGGACTTCAACTCCCAGAATTCCCCAGCCAGCCATGCTGCTGTAGTCACATGGGGTGCGCATGGATAAAACAACAGTCATCCATCAATCTACAATCTAATTAAAGTTTGCATTAGCCATGGTGATAGAAAGGGGGATCTTGAAAAAGTCAAGATGGCAGCTGCACCGCATGTAAAAAGGGAGGGGCTTTGATTGCAGTCACAGCTGCCATCTTGACTTTTTTGACACCCTCTCCCTGTGTAGACCCCCCTGACTACAGACTTTGCTGTAGTCAATAAGCGCAAAGGCTCCTTGGGTTGTTATGCATGGAGTCTGCATGCCAGACTGAAGATTCAGACTCACAACCCACATCCCCATGAGTAAGAAACAGTTCCTTGTCATGCACCAGGTCAGATCATCTCATTCCCTGCGCCATATAGAAAAGACTTGGTATTTTTAACAGGGAGAGAAGCTGGATAAATGATGGGGTTTCCATCATTCCAACAGCCTCCAGTTAATGACGGGATTCTTCAAGCCGCCGGAGATGCCCAGAAAATTGCTTCAAGATGCTTTCTATTTCTGTAGAAATAGGTAACTATAAATAGTTAGGAATTTCAGCTATGTTTTAATTATTACTTTTTCTAAGTGGTACTAAGTCTCATTTTCTTTCATTCTCAATAGAAGTTATGAAGTTAGGGGCGCATGAGGATGTAATTTTTTTTCTTTCTAAAGATTCTACTGTGTGATCTGTAATAGTTTGAATTCTCTCCTTGTGATCTGCAATAGTTTGGGCAGAAAGCTTTTCACTTTTAGCAGACCAGCACCACCCTGTGGCCTACACCATACAGGCTATTGTATCCTCTTTGGATTTTTCCCCCCCCCCCTAAACTTTAAAATGCTGTATTAGCTTGATTTTGTTTATCTCCTGTGAGATTGATTTCTCTCTCAAGGGAGATTGAGGTGAATGGTTGATCCCCTAGTCACCAAATATCTATGCTACTTGGTCACAAGATGGCACTATCAAAATTATTTTGCATATTGATGTTTTAATAATTAGAAAGGCAGCACAAGGCGTGGTTTCTCTCTCACAGGTTGGGCTCAGAGTGTGGACGTCAGGTGAGGTGCCAACAGCAGGAACTACTATCAAGCCACTATTCCAAACCAGGAGATGACACCAGAGGGTGAAAAGTCAGGCAGCTTCTGGGAGTAGAGCTTTGGGACTTCACCCTGTGGGCCTCATCATTGCTACATGCTGGCAGTGTTGACTAAACACCTGGTTTAGACCAGAGTATTTTTTTTAATTTCAAGCTTTTTAGAAAAAGACATTACTATTATTGTGAGTGGTTCACAGGTAGGTAAAGTCAAGAAGGCACCACAACCATGTGCTTGAAGCCCTGCCCCCTTTAGGTGTGTCATGATTCAAATGAAAAATTGTGGAGCTTTGATTGCATGGTTGTGGCCACCATCTTGCCTTTTTTGACCCCTCCCTGAAAGGACCCCTGGTAGACAGGTGATTTTTTTAAAAAAAATCTTTTTAGCAAAGCATACAGATTTGCACCCACAAAAGTTACTTTTATTTCTAGCATCCAAGTTCAACAGGCTAGCTAGATTAAAGTCAGGGGGCAGAGCTCCCGGGTATATTACTTAGGAGTGAGACGACTTTGCCCATCCAGCTTGCAGAAGATACCTTGAGGGACAACAGGTTGGATTTTTCATGCATGAAGCTAAGGCAGCCAGTCTATTCACCCCAAGGCGACCCAGTAATCCAATCACAGCCATGAACTCCCTGATCCATCTGAGCCAGATAAATTGGACATCCAAGCCCAAAAATAAAGCAAAAGACCAGAGTTGGAATTCCAGAAGGAAGAAAATGCAGTTAACATAGAAGACGCTGTGGGTGAGAGAAAGTGCTTTCTAACAGTCCTGCAATCTGGTTTACAGTCAACACTGCAGATCAGATTCTCAGCAGTTTACAAAACAACCCTGCAGGGATCTTCAGCAGTATTAGGTCGATGTTACAGCCCGAACTGAATTGGAAAAACTGCAACAATGCTGCAAGGTTAGTTCCTGATTTTATTTCACAGTGTAAACTGGGCTGAGAAAGTAGGTTGCAACAAACTTGATGTTTGACCTTGACAGTTTGGAAAAAGAGAAACTTACATCACCATGACAGGAGATCAAAGAGAAATAAACATTGTTTTGGAATCCCAGATGGAAAACCCCCATATCTCAGGTTGCAACAAAAGTAAATCCAGAATTCAGGCTGAAAAATGAACTCAGCTCTGCCAAGAGACCTTAAGCTGGCACCAAAAGGGTGCAGTTGAAATATTGGAAAGCAAATTCCATAGATATATTCTGCCAATGAAACAATGCCCAATGTAAAGCAGAAACTCCAGCCTAACTTGGGTGAGGAGGCTGTTTCAACCCCCTCTGCCACAGGATTCAATTGTAAAGATTTCTTTCAGATCAACTCCACTCCTGATGACTACAGTGCCTGGATACGTTTTCTTGATAGCAATACGTTATCCATGCCTTCTCCTAGAGTGCCTTCTTCTTCCCAGTGTAGGCTCCACCCTGTTTAACTTAACTTCAGAGGATGTTCAAAATTCTGTGGATCTGAAGAAGATTGACCCAATGTCACACTTTATTACTGCAAGAAAAGCAAGACTATTAAAAATGGGGAAATCATGCTTTGTTCTTCATTATTATTTTCTTTTCGCATCACAAATATGCAAGGTTTTCTCTCCTCAGGGTCTAAATGTCTCCCCTGCAAGAACTAAGGCAGAAACTGTGTCAGAAGGAGAGGAAAAAATATTTGCATCCCGTGCTATGCAAACAAACCTCCTTCATAGCATCTTCTAGTTAGGGAAGCTGCTTGCCAATCATTGCTTGACTCTTCTATCTGTTCCAGTCCACAGTATTCTTCTGAAATAAAACAGCTCGATCCAACTCTTGAAAACCAGAAGAACTAGCTGAGTAACTAATCTTAGCCTTGACAGCTTATTTCCACTGTTCTAAGATGAGAATCCAATGCAGTAAAAAACTCACACTTCTATGTATGTATTTGCCTACTTGCCAAATGACTGGGCAGCTGAGAATTTAAAAACCTTGGGGATGCCTCAACCAAACCCCAAAACACATATAAACAAATAAATTGCTGGAGACAATAATTCACACAATAATGGTGCATGCAACATCCTGGCTCAGTGCTAGAGGGAAGAACCAAGTTTCTGGAGGCTCCTCAGCCACGCGCCAGCTATTCTTCCACACAGCAAAAAGGCCTGTGCAGGATTACCAGTTTTGCATTCATGTGCTATCTCTTCTTGGATTTAAAGATTTATTGACTACTTAATTTCAGAGAAAAAGCATCACAGTACAATGAATTAGGTTGATACATATTTTTTAAAATAAAGGAAAATCTGGACAGAATCTCTATCAGAAATGAAACTCTGCAACAGATTCCCAAAGAAAGCAAAGCAGAACTTCTAATTGGTTAGCAGAGAGACAGAACGCTACCCATTCACTGCTGTAGTAACAAGGGAACAAAACAGGTCAAACGTGTATCTGTCAGGCAAAACTATGCACCCTGGTGAAAATCTGTTATAAGAGATGTTTTCCATTACAATAAATCCTCCAAAGAAAAATCTAAAATCACCCTAGTTCTGAAAAACGGGGCACTGTTTAAAGAGGCCTTGAGGTTTTTCCAAATACTACAAAAATAGTTTTACTTAAATTACTTAAATACGTCAGTTAAAGTTGTTAAATTGAAAGTATAATTCTATGCATGTATAGTTAAAAGTCCAGCTGAGTTCAATTAAAGGTTTCTTGTAGTTAAGCAAGAGTAGGATTCCAGCTTATGATATCATCTAATCAACAAAGGTTTCTTGTAGTTAAACAAGTAAAATGAGTACAGGTAGTCCCCAGTTTAAGAATGAGTTCTGTTCCCAAGGTCTGTCCTTAAGTCACCTTTGTATATAAACCAGAACAGTATTATTATATAATACTGTATAAGTAGTATTGTGTAATGAACTCAAACCATTGTG